TAATCTTAGGTTTGTACAGTTTTTCTTAAAGAATACATTATATTTTATAAACAGATAATTAAAATTAAAGAATAATAAAATAAATAGTAAAATCTTGTCAATATGTGAGTGCCGTAAAGGTATTATATTTACGAAAATCTCTTCTTATAACTAACGAAGACTTTGTTTCTATATGAAGCTGACTTCGACATTTTGTTTTAATAAAACTTAGTATCGAAAAGTTTCTTTAAAAATTTGACTAGGCTATATTATACTGGTTCGTTGAAGCCATTTTTCAAAATTACAAAGGTAAATACGAACAGGCGAACCAAAGAGAACACAAAAAATTTCTTGCTGTGAATTTTCAGAGCTATATATATTTAGTATTGATTACAAAATTGTACTAAAAAGTACTGCGTAGTAGGAAAGTATGTTGTAAATGAAATTGTATCAAACAAGTACAATTGTACCAAAAATGCCAACACTGTTCTGTATACATACTTTTTCTTCTTTTCTACTTTTTACTCTTATTTTATCTTTCAGCTTCGCTAAAAGCACTTCTACGAACGCTTGGCTTACCAAATTTACGCCAATTGATAAAATTTTGCGATTTAAATTCATTTTAAATAATGTAAATAACTATTCGTGTTGAATTGAAAATCGCCTCGTCTGAATAGGGATAGCAACTTTTTCACTTTCAACTTCTCATTCAACTCTGCATTCAACTTTTGTTGCCTGTAAAATCGCCTCGTGCGAATGCCCTATTAAGGAAAGAAAGAAAAAAGTTATTTTCTCATGATGCAATAACGTATAATACAAATTAAATTAAATTAAACGTATTAATTACAAATTCTGAAATATGTCGTTAATTTCAAAAACAAATAAACAAATTTTTAAAAAGTAGTCAATGCTTGCTGTATGACACGAACTTGGATATACGTGGACTTGGGTAATGTATAATTCCTTATATGATTCCTCAAAGTATCCCTTGTATAACACAAAAAAACCTTAGTGCGACTATATCAGGTTTGATAGCTGTTTGCCATACCAATAATGCCTCATACTAAGATTCACTAGATCAATTCGTGTTCTCCGAGAAAAAAAATTTTCACGATCCAAAAATCTGAAAAATTGTTTTTCTCCAAAGTTTGAACATTTATCGTTTTTGGCCTATATTTTGTTGAAAATACCATACAAAGCAAATATAGGGCAAAAAACAAAGAATTTTCAAAATTTTGAGAAAAGAATTTGACGGCTATACTCAGATTTTTGAATCGTGAAATTTTTTTTCTCGAGAACACGAATTGATCAAGTAAAACTGAGCATGAGGCATTATTGGTATGGTCAACAGCTATGAAACCTGATATATGCGCACAAGAAGCCTATATGAAAGAGGGGGACAAAAGATCACACGTAAATGAATTCCTCTTTTTGGCCTGTACAATATAAGGGACACATTTCAAATTCATAAGGGATAATTTTCTTAGTGATACGGCTCATAAAAGGAATTATATAAGCCATACTGTTCTAGCTGGGTATTCATCAGCTCGAAAATTTTAAGCATATTATCATATTCCTGTAAATAAAAACACGCCTAATTTTATTATTTTAATTATCTACAATTTTACGAGACTACCAAGCCATATATATACCTTTTCTGATAATCGGAACGCTGTTGAGAAGGCATACAATTTAGTACTTTTTCAACTAAAAGGTTTTTTTTTATTCCCGTTTATCTTGTACTTCCAAAATACAAAATTGACCTAAGGTAGTTCGATTTCGAGCTGTCACAACGTACAACACCTTTCATTATTGCATCATGTTATTTTCTAGCAGTTGAAATCTCGACGCCATCTTTGTTGTAAGAAGTAAACAACGAAGAGAACAAAAAAAACGCGTAATTGTTGAACGCATGAATAATAATTTTTATTATGCAAATTCTCCTATAAATCATGTCGTTGTGTTAAATTATTCTTTACCTTATGTGTGCACACGTTGTCACAAGCGAAAATTAAGAAAATTACAGTAAAAAGCCACCACCAAATTGTAAACAACGAACAAATGTAAACAAACGGCTTATGTCAAAATCGCCCTACTTTTTTCATAAGTGCGATTATAACGGGCCACTCTTCTGCTGTCGTGATCTTGTCCATTGATCTTGTCTTTTTGGTTCATGACGGTAAGTAGTGTATTTTTGTCAACAATATTTTAATTGAATATTTTTCACCTTCTACTTTCAGCTTCCGTTAGAAATATGTCACGGATACCATTCACGCAATTAAGCACCCCATCCTTGCACGTCAAAACCCAGTTGACCTGAAGGATGGATGGGGAATTCGTCGCATCGCGGAAGAATCGGCCGGACCGTATTCTCTAACTTCCACCGACGACAGCCCCTCGGAAAATATTTCTTCACTACGCGCAATAACGCAAAAGTTTAAATTCATAAATATGCCTATTAACACATCCAACGGCGCGACAGAATCAGAAGCGGCAGAGGTGAGAGGTGCTCCAGATGGTGGTGATTGTACTAGTATTGAATGCGATCAAAATTCCGAAACCGAGTCTTGTCATGACCAACATGAAGCATATGGCATCGCTGAAAATTATGATGACCAGAGCGAGGAGTACACTTCTGATGATAGTGAATCGGAGGCGCAGCCGGTGGCTAAGCCGCTGGCACGCGCACGTATTGCCAATCCAATTGAGCTAGCTGCGACCGAAGATGTGCTGTCTTCCGTCAATTTTACTTGTTGTTAAACAAAAGGCGGTGCAGGTTTTTTTTTCGTTTGTATTAGTATATGTAATCTGCAGTCTTTTTGTTTAGGTGGATCTTCGCTGAGATTGCAAATTGAAGAATTCAGAAAACGTGTCAAAACGACTCCCATCAACAGTTGGAAACTAGCTAAAATTGAAACAAACTAATCACCAAGTACTCTCACCACAGAATATTTGGAGGAAATGGGTATTGGTATGCCTGACTCGGAAGAGAGCTCATCATCTGCGGCTTCATCAATTGCTCTTGTTCTGAGTGCGAGTGCAGATGAAAATTCAAATGGGGTTACTCCAAATTTGGATGCACCAAAGATGTGTCACAATCGTATTGCTTCCTACCGACATTTGGACAGTACGCTAGACAGTACGCTTAGCAGTGAAAATAATACAATAATAGGTAGCCCCAACATCAGCCATATTGAACGCGAGTGTAGTAATGCAAATCATCAACATTGCAATAATAATAACAACAATACATTAGACTCCTTTGGTGACGAAAGCAAACAAACGTTGCTGCTGCAACAATGTCAATCTAAAAATGTAGATAAAGTATTACCTCAATATAGGAAAGTCGCTATACTTGGTGTGGGTGCAGGCAGTAGTTCGTCGTCCGCGTCTGCATCACAACCAAATGTTACAAATTCGAATTCCAACTCGCCTTCAGCAGGCAGAAGCACACGCAGTCCGTTGGGTACAGTTTCTGGCAACAACCATAATCGAACAGTAAGAAATGCTTCACAGCATGAGAGCATAGGAGGTAATGGCATCGCTACAATAAATAACTCAACAAATCCCAATCCTATATTATATGCATCCAATTACATGCCCATGCCTTCAACCAGCAAGCAGATAACTATAATCAAACAACAACAGCGACAACAGCTTCAACAGCAGCAGTTGCAGAGGCAAGTTCAAAATGTAAGCCAACATCAGCAGAAGCAAAAACCTAATGAGCAGCATCCACATATGGCTTTATATGACAATTTCTTCTTGTTTCGACAACAACAGTTGCGTGATCATGTTAACGATGGAAAGGATCATTTTAGCTCGTTGTCGGATGAGATTATTTTACAAATTTTTAAATGGCTTCCTAAAAAAGCGTTAATACGCTGCAGCTATGTTTGTCGACGTTTTGGTAGATGTGCCAGTGATGAGTCGCTTTGGACGCGTCTGGACTTAGGAGGACGGCATTTGCGGGCTGGTGCCCTGGAAAGTATATTAACACGCGGTGTAGTAATTCTACGTTTAGCGCAAGCCGAGTTGAATCATCCCATCTTCGATAGTGACTTTCTACATGCCGAAACGAAGTTCGAATCGAAGTTGCAGTATTTAGATCTAAGTATGGTATCGGTTACAAAGCCGTCGCTAAAAATGCTATTATCACGTTGCCGACAATTAAAGAAACCAGCTTACATTTCACCCTATAGCATACAATATCAACGCAACATGTCGCCACAAACGCGTGTTGCCACCCATAAAACTTTGACTCCAACCGCAACAGCGCAGCCAAATGCGTGCCGCAAACGCGACACCAATGTAAATACTTCCGATGCAACTGGAACGCGGTTAACAACGCCGAAGAAATTGCAGACCCACAGTAGCGGTAGCGCGAAGGATACAACAATACAACAGGCGGCAGCGCCACATTCACTCGAACGGCAAGGCACATTTGTGCAGGACGAACCGACGATTGCAACGTGCCAAGTTCCAGTTGTTGTGTCAGATGTGAAAGCGACTTTACCGTCAACTGCAACCACTACAACTACAACTGGCGGCAGCCCGCAACGCAGTTCAAAGCAGCCAACAAAGTGTACCGCCCCCGTGACTACTTCAAAATCAACCCCGGCAGCCA